AATACCGAGTTGTTTCAAAATGCTAGAACTCAAAATAAAAGGCAAAAAGTTTCTCAAAAAGAAAATACCTATCTTTGGCACTTAAGATTAGGTCACATTAATCCCAATAGGATTGGGAGGTTGCTTAAGAATGACATTCTAAATGAGTTAGAAGATGATTCTTTACCACCATGTGAGTCTTGTCTTGAAGGCAAGATGACTAAAAGACCTTTTGCTGGAAAAGGTTATAGAGCCAAAGAGCCCTTAGAACTTATACATTCAGACCTTTGTGGTATGATGAATGTTAAGGCTCGATGAGGGTATGAATACTTCGTCTCTTTTATAGATGATTATTCAAGGTATGGTTATTTATACCTAATGCAATATAAGTCTGAAGCCCTTGAAAAGTTCAAGGAGTACAAGACTAAAGTTGAAAATCAATTAGGTAAAACCATTAAAACACTTCGATCTGATCAGGGTGAAGAGTATATGGACTTGAGATTCCAGGACTATATCATAGAACATGGAATCACGTCCCAACTCTCAGCCCCTGGTACACCTCAACAAAACGGTGTATCAGAAAGGAGAAACAGAACCCTGTCGGACATGGTTCGATCAATGATTAGTTATGCTCAGTTGCCTAACTTGTTTTGGGGTTATACAGTGGAGACTGTGGTTTATATTTTGAACTTAGTTCCATCAAAAAGAGTTTCCGAAACATCTTTTGAACTATGGAAGGGTCGTAAAGCTAGTTTACGTCACTTCTGCATTTGGGGATGCCCGGCACACGTGCTCATGACTAACCCAAGGAAACTGGAACCTCGTTCCAAAGTATGCCTATTCGTAGGTTACCCTAAAGAGACGAGAGGTGGTATATTCTTCGATCCTCAAGAAAACAGAGTGTTTGTATCGACAAATGCTACTTTCTTGGAAGAAGACCATGTTCGAGATCATAAACCACGAAGTAAGGTAGTGATTAACGAGATTTCTGAAGAGGTTACAAATACGTCAACAAGAGTTGTTGATCAAACTGGCACTACAACAAGAGTTGTTGATGAAGCCAGTACATCACGTCAGTCACATCCACCTCAAGTGTTGAAAGTGTCTCGACGTAGTAGGAGGATTGTGTCACAACCTGACCGCTATGTGGGTTTTAATTGAAACCCAAGTTGTCATACCTGATGACGGCATCGAGGATCCATTCACCTACAAAAAGGCAATGGAAGATACTGACAAGCACAAATGGGTCAAAGCAATGGACCTGGAAATGGAGTCGATGTACTTCAATTCCGTTTGGGAACTTGTAGATCAACCTGACGGGGTAAAACCCATAGGGTGCAAATGGATCTATAAGCGAAAACGAGATGCCGAAGGAAAGGTACAGACCTATAAGGCGAGACTTGTGGCAAAAGGCTACACACAAAGGGAAGGGGTGGACTATGAATAAACCTTCTCCCCTGTAGCTATGCTTAAATCCATTAGAATACTTTTGTCTATTGCCACATATTATGACTATGAGATATGGCATATAGACGTCAAGACTGCTTTTCTGAATGGCAATCTTGAAGAAAGTATTTATACGTCTCAACCCGAAGGGTTTATAGCTCAAGGTCAAGAGCAACAGGTTTGCAAGCTTAAACGGTCCATATATGGACTGAAACAAGCATCTCGATCTAGGAACATAAGGTTCGATACTGCGATCAAATCTTATGGTTTTGACCAAAACGTTGATGAGCCTTGTGTATACAACAAGGTTGTCAACAACACTGTAGCCTTCTTAGTGTTGCACGTGGATGATATCTTACTCAATGGGAATGATGTAGGATACCTAACTGACATAAAGAAGTGGCTAGCGACTGAGTTCCAAATGAAAGATTTGGGAGAAGCTCAGTATGTTCTTGGCATCCAAATTCTAAGGGATCGCAAGAACAGAACGTTGGCCCTGTCTCAAGCAACTTATATCGACAAGATGTTTGTTCGATATTCGATGCAGAATTCCAAGGTTTATTACCCTTCGAAATGAAATTCATCTGTCTAAGGAACAATGTCCTAAGACACCTCAAGAAGTTGAGGATATGAGACTTATACCCTATGATTCAGTAGTGTGCAGCTTGATGTACGTTATGCTGTGCACGAGGTCTGACATTTGCTATGCGGTAGGGATGGTCAGTAGGTACCAATCCAACCCAAGATATGATCACTGGACTGCTGTTAAGGGAATCCTCAAGTATCTNGTACAGACCTATAAGGCGAGACTTGTGGCAAAAGGCTACACACAAAGGGAAGGGGTGGACTATGAATAAACCTTCTCCCCTGTAGCTATGCTTAAATCCATTAGAATACTTTTGTCTATTGCCACATATTATGACTATGAGATATGGCATATAGACGTCAAGACTGCTTTTCTGAATGGCAATCTTGAAGAAAGTATTTATACGTCTCAACCCGAAGGGTTTATAGCTCAAGGTCAAGAGCAACAGGTTTGCAAGCTTAAACGGTCCATATATGGACTGAAACAAGCATCTCGATCTAGGAACATAAGGTTCGATACTGCGATCAAATCTTATGGTTTTGACCAAAACGTTGATGAGCCTTGTGTATACAACAAGGTTGTCAACAACACTGTAGCCTTCTTAGTGTTGCACGTGGATGATATCTTACTCAATGGGAATGATGTAGGATACCTAACTGACATAAAGAAGTGGCTAGCGACTGAGTTCCAAATGAAAGATTTGGGAGAAGCTCAGTATGTTCTTGGCATCCAAATTCTAAGGGATCGCAAGAACAGAACGTTGGCCCTGTCTCAAGCAACTTATATCGACAAGATGTTTGTTCGATATTCGATGCAGAATTCCAAGGTTTATTACCCTTCGAAATGAAATTCATCTGTCTAAGGAACAATGTCCTAAGACACCTCAAGAAGTTGAGGATATGAGACTTATACCCTATGATTCAGTAGTGTGCAGCTTGATGTACGTTATGCTGTGCACGAGGTCTGACATTTGCTATGCGGTAGGGATGGTCAGTAGGTACCAATCCAACCCAAGATATGATCACTGGACTGCTGTTAAGGGAATCCTCAAGTATCTTAGGAGAATGAGGGACTACAAGCTCGTGTATGGCGCTAAGGATTTGATCCTTATAGGATACACTGACTCTGACTTCCAAATAGACAAGGATTCAAGGAAATCCACGTCGGGGTCAGTATTCACTCTTAACGGAGCAACGGTAGTTTGGCGAAGCATCAAACAAGGATGCATCGCTGACTCCACCATGGAGGCCAAGTACGTTGCAACTTGTGAAGCAGCAAAAGAGGCGGTTTGGTATAGAAAGTTCTTGACAGATTTGGAAGTCGTTCCAAACATGAACTTGCCCATCACACTTTATTGTGATAACAGTGGTGCTGTGGCAAATTCTAAAGAACCTCGAAGCCACAAGAGAGGCAAACACATCGAAAGGAAGTACCACCTTATACAGGAGATAGTGCAACGAGGAGATGCATCACAAAGATTGCTTCGGAGCACAATATTGCTGATTCTTTTACGAAGGCACTCACGGCTAAAGTGTTTGAGGGCCATCTAAAAAGTCTAGGTCTACGAGCTTTGTATGATTAGTCTGGGGCAAGTGGGAGAAATGTAATGGGTATAGCGTATGCCCTAGTTTATTGTATTTTCCCTTTGGTTTATGATAATGTACACCCCACTCGAGTTTAGTTCAAGTGGGAGTTTGTTGGGTGTGTTGCCCTAAACTCATAGTTTGTATTTTGTGTAAAAACAAACATATATTCAATAAAGTTTTATTCAATAAATTTGTTGTTGAATTCATAGAATTGCATTGTCCAAAATCCAAAACCCTAAACATCCGAGGTTATTTTAGTGTAACTGGGACAGTATATGTACTCGGTATATATTTGATATACTGGGTATATATTTGATATACCCCTGATATACGAGGTATATATTTGATATACCCTGATATACAAGTCGATAATGTACCGTGAATAACCTAAAGGGTCTATAGTATATGGATAAGGTTGGGTACCTTATCCTTACAACACTATGGATACGGCCCACTCTGTAAAGGTTACAAACGACTCGATCCAGGTCGTTTGTGTGGAGACATGCGAGTCGGGGTATCCTATACAATGAGTTTGTAACACCGTCAAATAGTAGATTGCTGTTTCTTAGGATGACCAGGCAACTCATTCTCAATCCTGAGTGAGTTATGGACTCCTGCCCGTGAGGGCTCGTCCTTTGATCTGTATGGGTGAGAGTGGCCCGAGTTGCCGACTCAATATTCCTACCATTTTGGGGACGAGCCCGAGTGGGGAGCTGGGAACATATCTTCACAAGATGGAATTCACTCATCCCCGACTTTAGGGAAGTAGATGAGTGATCTCTTAAATGCTAACTCGGGACTTGAACAAGGGGCCCCACCCTCTCATTCGTTCGAGAGGGACTTTCGGTTATTGGTCGTGTAACGCCGCAGAATTCTCAACATTTCTAAACGGGGACCGTTACTAAGACTAACTAAAGTTTTCACTTAAACAAGAGAATTATCTTCACAACAAGACTAAACAATAAAACTACCATGCTTCTTATGCGCTACTCTGATTCAATACTCACGAGAGCTTGAACAATCAAAACAACAACACTAAAGATTTAAGAGAAACTCAAATCCTTTACAGATAATCCATTTAATTACCAACTTCACATTATCCAAATTCCTCAAGGAAACCTTTACTAATCATAAACCATCCACTAAATGAAAATTAACATCTCGAATGGCAACGAAGCAAAAGCTAACTCAAGTTCGATCAACTTAAACATATGTATTCATAAGTATCCTAAGAAGATTACAGTTCTGGAGTTCAAGAAGCTAACAAAATTAATGTTCTAAAAAGAATAATGAATTGACCACCTTAAAACATCCTTTAAACCATAACACTAAACAAAACCAACTACTAACAACTCAACTACAAGATGAAATAATTGCAACTATCCTAACTAAAAGAATTAAATACACGCAGCATAGCTAATGGTCTTTCCAATCAAGCCTCCTCCTCGCCACCACCATTCCAAAGAGTAACCCTGTTACCTACAAAGTCTAGTGAGAAAAATAAGGGGTGAGTACACCCACAGTACCCAATAAGCGTTACATACTTGAAGGGTCACGCACAAACAGCATACTATGCAAACAATCCACACATCATGCTTATCAATATCTTCAAGCTTTAAGTAAAAATAAACATATTAAAAGAAGCAGTTTATGCATAAGTTTAACTAAACATGCACCATGCATGTCAAACTCATCCTTACATCTAAACTCACTAGTTCTCCTTCAAGTCGAATCGACCCCTGACCTCGCATAGCCAAGGCATCCACACTTCTCCAAGGTGCTCGACGTTGGACTTTGACATTTATCCCCAAGGCCTCAACTACTACCAAACGTAATGGTCCTTAGCCTCCAAGCAACTCCTAACCTATCACACTATGTTTGTCCTCCAAGTCTAACTCCTCGAATCGTATCGGCCCTTGCCATTTATCCCCAAGGCCCGACACTCATCTACAGAGGCTTAGCATTTGACCTTACCAGTTATCCCCAAGGCTTCAAACTGTGCATCACATTATATTAGTCCTCCAAGGCTAACTCCTCGAATCGTATCGGCCCTTGCCATTTATCCCCAAGGCCCGACACTCATCTACAGAGGCTTGGCGTTCGACCTTGCCGTTTATCCCCAAGGCTTCAAACTGTGCATCGACCCTTGACATTTATCCCAAGGTATTGACGACTACTCAACGTATTGGTCCTTGACCGCCACCACATCAAGACGAAATACTAATTCAACAAAATAGAATCACCGTGCCAACCCCCGACCCTTTGTACCCGGAGCCTCGACACTCGTGTCTACCAAGTTGGGGTATCGATCCCCGACTTTTGCACCTGGAGCCTCGATACCCAACTAGTGACGTGCCAGCCTTTTTTGGCCCTGTTAGTTCTCCATTTACTGTATTACATCCCAAAACTCTCACCTGAGTCCTACTACATACTTTCTAGGCCATGACCCATGCATCACTCAACTCACAATAAAACCAGCATGCTTCCAGAACCAAAAACAGTAAGCTAAAAATGAGATGACAGGTCTACATGCATGCGCAACACAACAAATTTCTCCCATATTATTTCAGTATGCTTTTATGAACACAACCATACAACGATAAAACCATTCATAATCCATAATGCTTTCAGAAATCCCACTAAGCATCAAATCCAACAACGCAAAGCAAATCAATTATAAACAACCAAAACCAACATGATTTCATTCAACTAGTCATAATCATTAGCCAATATTCACTAAGACACAATCAACTTACATATTAATAAATAACAAACACACTGAAAGCACCAAACAATTCATACATATTCATACAACAAACATCATTCAAGTAAAAACTACTTACCCACGCTCAATGTTCCTAATTCTTCGGTTGATTCGGCACCTAGGCATTCAAATAAAAAAAACAGCATGTCAAGAAGACAGTTTCAGTCATAAAAATCAGTTATAAGGAGGGTTCGAAAGGTCCGTTACCACAAAAACGATTTCGTTTGAGTGTGGGTAACTCATATCTAACTCGAGCAAGGGTGGGTAACGTAGATCGGG